ACCATTTTTCAAGAGTCAGCTTGCAAGGGATCATGTTGTAACTACAAAACGGATCCAGATCGTATCATAGCTCTACCTTCCCTTGTCCATCATTCTACTCACGTTCGATTTTCACATATTATGGACAGTGTTAGATATTCGCATTGAAAAGTGTTGACGGTTTATTCGAATATTGTCAAGAGATTTGAGTTTTGTCCTTGTCTCAAAAGATGACTAATGTGGAAGCTAAAGAACTAAGAGTGTTATTTACTTGTCTCAAGTATTAATATAAAGAGGTTACGCACATCATGTGGATACCTTTTTCTAAAAAATTAAAGAAGGGAGATCTTAGTATTAACCATGGTTATACATCTGGATTTACATTTGCCAATAAGAATGCCACTTCATACAATTATATTCAACTGGATGACCGTACTAATATCTGATAATTTGTTCATGACTTCTACATCATTATGGCAATATATGAGCACTATAGGCGCAACTCAGTAAATTTTATACAACAATCTCATCATTGGAAACTAAGTCCTACGACCCTACGTGACTTCACAGTTTTAAGAAACAGTGGATCGATACAATTATGAGCCTTAATCCAAAACAAGTTAGTATAAACCAGTGCCGGAACTACAGGAACTTCCTCATCCTCGAGACTGCGCACTTCTTTCTTGGCTAACAAGGAGATGCGCTTTAAATTGGAGCCTCTGACACAACAGCGGGTGTGTCTCTCAGAGCCGCAACGCAAATCATGTCGCTGGCTGTGAAACTGGACGAGCTGCAGATGCGTACCGGGAATGTGGAAATCCTGCAAAGCCATCAACAACACAGTGAGTCAAAACATGAGATTTAATCACGGATTCGACGAATAACAACATTCAAAACATTATCGAAGCATGAAGGCTGCGAAGTGGATCCTGTGACAAACGCTAACGCTATCACTGTTATCTAGGACAGCCGTATATCACCACAAACATCCTAATGGAAGCAGGGTTTGAAGTAGGGTTGTATAAGAGTTTTACCTTCAGATGGTGCTCCCAGTGCCGCAAAGAAATGTGATAGACCACCTGGTCCCTGTGTCGACGGTCGGCAGTTGCTCACGAGAATATGCAGCAGGGCTTCGAAAAATGTACGCTTGGCCACGAAGTCAAACAGCGCACATGAATTAGAAGCAAACAGAACCAAGTCAACAAAAGAATATTACATAGCCACAAGTGGAAGGGACTAATAGATCCTCCAATATCATTTAAAGAAGTTAAGAGCTCATACTTGGGAATTCTCGAGTAAACTACAATACGAGAGTCCCCTCGTCTTCGCATCTCTGAATTGTTAATCCTTCTCTCTCGTGTTCATCTCAATGAGGAACTTCAATCACCACGTTGAAATGATTGATGTTGCTTGTACCTACCCACTGTCAAAAGATAATATTGGTAAGTTTAAGTAAATGCGGTTTCGGCACGAAACTAGAATATCACCATGTGTTCATCAAGGGGAAAAGGAAGTTAAAGCTGAGTTTACTCATCTTCCCATTATATCATGACCGTGCTCACGACTCTTCGTAAAACCGTAGTCTACAAAGTAACAACTGAGGCCATCAGCTTACATTTGAAAGTAAGAACCTGCAACGTCACACCTGCAAAAGTAAAACAGAATTTCAGCACATAGTTTATAAGGAAGAACATGGAGTTCACTATCTTTATCAATATAAAGGGGGTCCTAAACGTCTGAAATTTAAATTATTACATGGAGGAACAATTATTCAGCTTCAATCTAAGCCGTTAAGACTCTTTAAAAGAGGTCCCGCAACGAGCTCCCTGAGCCGAAGATAAGCAGCCAACCACATGTTAAACATGATATCCAATGGCATGTCGAAATATACCTTCGCTTAAGAGCCACAATTCAGTTGGAATCCCCTCAACCCTCAGTTCGAAACTCATCACCGGACGGGAATTCGAGCGGCCAGGAGGATAATAACTGAAGTCGTCGTCAAATTCTTACCGAACACCGAAAGAGTCAAAGCCTAAACAGATAAAGCAACTAATTTCAGAGCAGCTCTCAACATAGTTCGCAGGCATCAATGACTTTCAAAAGCAACAACAGCCCTAGCTTACAGTTCAGACATGGTGTCATCATCACCGTTTCAAACCTTCCCCAACAACAGAAGGAAAGCATAGCATCAGCTAATAAAAACACAACACTCAACATTTTCTCGTCTACAAGTAACAACAACCATGTCAGTTCAGCAGCGGCACAACAAGAGCAATATTAGCATCAAGAGCAATGACAGCATTAGCAATAACAATATCAATAGCATCAGTTCACAACTACGATTACACCCACGATTTGGCCCTCAGGTAACACATCATCGGGCAAGGCTCGAGTAGCCAGGAGGATAACGAAAAGCCGTCGTCAACTCCTTACCGACTCAAGAGCATCAACGGAAGTTCAAAAATGACAAGAGGCAACCACAATTCCTGGCTCAGACACAGTGTTGTCATCGCTGTTTCAACCCTACGTCAGCCACATCATAAGACAAAGCGAGCATCTGAACTCGAGTTTGGTCTTCCCTGCGAAGAAGAAGAAAAGAAGTGTTAGCACAATCCCGTAATGGCAAGTTTCTATTTTCAGCAGCAAAAGAAACCAAGTCACAAAGTCAACAGACACGTCATACAGTTCCCAAATTCAACAAATCAACACGGAAGAGAAAAGTTCAAAACTTCCCTAAATCAGAAAATAACACCTTTCGACAAAATCAAATGGAAAAGGCAAGATTGGAGTGAACCATCAATGAAATTAGACAGCATCGCCCAAATAAGAAGGTCTTTAAACAAATTCTTCATGGAGGCCCATGGTTTTTATCTATAAAAACCGAGGAAAGCACATGGATCGGGACATCGCAAAAAAGCCACTCTACCGTAAAGAAACAGTTCCACTCGCAGCTCAAACCAGAGGGGAACCATCACCGCCGTGAAGCTCCAATCGACCTCAAGCTTCATCATCTCTGCCCAGGAGAGAGAACTCGAGAATCAAATCCCAGTTTCATCGCCACTAACGACGAGCCGCCGTCAACTCGTATTTTTGGGTAAAACAACTCAGCCACTTTTGAAATAGTCTTGCATGTTTGATCTGTGTGGGTTTTGCAGGATAAACAAGGACATCGAAGAACCAATGGATGGAAGGAGATCGAAAAACCACTCGACGGAATGAGAAAGGCGACGGATCGCAGAGAAGGAGATGAACTTGGGGGGGGGGGGGGGGGGGGGGCTTAGGGTTCCCTTGTTTTTTCCTGTTTGTTTTTGTTTAAGCTTTCTTGTTGTTATTGCAATATGATGAACACACACGATCCGCATACTAACTATCCCCCTTATCAGCAACTTAGCCCCCTAATCATCACTTTTACTAATCAACTTAATTAACGTTTTGTTTAATCAACTTTAATTAAAACTAATAGCTTTTTTTAATTATCTTTTCTTTTCTTAAATTCAATGATTTTTTTTATCAAATACAACTATCTCATTTTATTTAATAAGGTATTTTATTTATATCCTAAAATGACAAAAATCCATTCCGTATTTTAGATAACTTTTAAATAAATAACAATGACCCCTCTTCAACTTAAGTTAGCATCTTTTTATAATCAAAAAACTAAGTTATTTGTTTACTTAATAATAGATGTAAATAGGAAAACCCCTTTTTATAATAAACTAATCTATTTTAAATAACTTGGCTTTTTGTTAATATTTCAAAAAAACTAATTTATCCCTTTAAAATAATTCCTCTTAAAATTAATCTTACTAATAATAAATCTAATATAATCTCCTTTATAAAATCATTCTAAATCAACCCTTTCATTTAAAATTAAATTTCACCCAATAATATATTTCTCACAAAAAATCAATTTAACCTCGCCTAAAAACAAACAACATCGTAATGTAATCAATCGTGTCCCCCCGATTCCACGCACATTCACATACACAATTTACACACTTGTACACTTAGCGCTTTCATGCGTGTGTATGTCTTACTTATCCGCAATTTATCTTCCGCAATTTTCATTATCGCAATTTATATTCCCGCCTCGCATTCCGTCCAAAGGAAAAACCTACACATGATTCAACAATTGTGTGTAGTGCACATCATTTGCATCATTCTCCCAAATGATCTTTGATTCCATTCAAGTCGATCTTTAAGATAGATCCTACCCTATAGGAAGGACCTTCTCTTTACAACATAGAAAATAAAACAAACAACAATACAACCACTCAAACACAATAGAGAAGTAGATGTTAATCATCTTAAGCGAGATAGAACCTCCACCCCACAACAATACAAACAACACGTAGGGACTTTGCCTTAAGAGAGATAAAGGCGTACTCGTCGGTCAATATCCGAGTACTTAAGCCCTTCTCTTAAGACGATGCAAAGACTATTTTCTTACATTTGTGGCAGTTAAATCTCCCTTAAAATGATAACTCGTCTTTTCTCCTAAACTCGATCAATCAACTACCCTAAACCCGTAGGAACTTTGACCACAGTCAAAGAACTCCTCAAACCCTTTAGGGGAACTACAAATACTCTGATTCCACTCCCGTAAGGATATGTAGGCATAAGATGCGATATTTTATCGAGTATACTTAGAAATAAACCCCTAGGTCTTTCAACCATTAAGCAGATAACCCTTAGCAATAAACAAACATAAAACAAGAGGTTCCTGTAGAGTACTACAGAAACTTAGGATGCTAGCACCTTCCCTAAGTTTAACCAACCCCCGAACCTATAACTCTCTAAACCTTGCATTTGCATTGCATTGTGGGAATTTCGATCTTTATCCCTTCCTTTGGACAAATCAAAGTTCGGTTGCAAATGAATAAGATTCAAACTAATCAATAGTTTGGTATCCAAATTTCACCGCGACAGATAAATATCTAGATTTGAACCTTCTTTTAACATTGAAAGATGTAGGATTATTTATCAATGGGTTTCCGCGCATAAGCTTTGCTTCTTTTACTTTAAGATCTTCCTCTTGTTGTTGCCGTTCCTGCACAAAAACAATAAACATTATATTCTTTTTTTAAATAAGGGTGATTTACATTTGTTCATAACTCACAAAATATATTGGAACCAATTAGCAAAAGGTATCGGTGTTGCCAATGGCGGATGGCGGTCCATGGCGAAGAGCCAAAATTCCGCCCACAATATCGGTCGATATTTACCATTGTGGCGAGGCCAAAAACCGTCATGTATATCCACCATACCGACCATGACGCTGCAATTTATAACACTAAACCACCATGTATATCCGCCATACAGCCATGACACCGCAATTTGATAACACTGAAAGGTATTAGTTACTAAAATAGAATAGAGGTGTTACAAACCCAGATGTAAGAATTCAATAGTTGATATAGCAAATAAGAGTGCATTTCTTATTGGAGTGAAAATTGAATATGGAAGAAGAGAATTCTTCATGCAAGGATTTCCCCTTTCACATGAATATTCTAATTGTCAAAATAAACCCTTTCGCCCTTCCTCCTCCAGTACCCTTTTTATCTAATCTAATACACGACATCCCTTTTAAATTTCAAAGTGCTCTATCTATCTTCATCTGATTCTAACTAGTTTCTCTAACAGTTTTTCTCACTTCTATTTTCAGAGAGGTAATACAATAAGCTCAATGCCTCATCTTCAATTGCATGAGATTAAAACGTTGAGTATAAAAAAGGAGTAATGTTACCTTGCACAGCTTTTCCTCTACCCTTTCCTTCTTTATTTGGTTCAAGCTCAGCCAGCAAAGCTTCAGTGTCATCCTCATCGTCATCATCACTGACAGACAGACACGAAGTTAGTTAATGTAAGATGTAAGAAGGAACTTATTCCAAGCATCAACATAAGATGTTTGACTTCAAATCAAACACTGACAGATTATCTAAATGAATCCAGTGCAACTTGGCTTACAAAAATCATCACAAAAAATAATATATTGGCTAAAAAAATACATTAAGTGTGCCTTTTATAAGGGGAACAAATATCAAAAGTACCCCTCTATGTGATAATATGTCATCACATTACCTATTAAGTATAAATAAAATACTGACTATGCCCAAATGCCGATAGAAATAGCACGCATGGTGCACATATGCTCAAGTATGCTGCTTGAAAGCATGTCTAAATAAAATAACAAGCTGTGAATATTCTACAAATCCTAAATGATCTATACATAAAAACAATAACATTATTTACACGTGCACACACATGGTTGACCGTGTCTTTGTATTGTTGCTACATAGACTAGTATATATACTTGTGAACTTGCACATTAATATTTTTAAAATCTGACTTCAATTTAATTCAATTCTGTTACATATACACATCAAAGGTACTTTTATAAACAATTAATCTTGTTTACATGAAGAGTATGCAAAATTATCAAACCTTTCGTCATCGTTGTTGACTTCAACATTCGAATCATCTGCATCAACATTGCATGGAACAATGTGGTCTTCGAAATCTCTTTTTGTTCCTGGTAAGATAAACACACATCAAATTAATAGACTGGATATAAATACTTTACGGCTTCTTTCTTTATCCCTTTTTACAACTTTTTCTTAGTGGTAACTGGAAGACCATGTCAATGAGCAAAGTAAAGAAATAAGTGAATCCATACTTAAAAGTAGTAGGAAAAATACCTTCCAGAAATAGATGATTACCCTTTCCATGATCTCTGTCATCTACAAGATCATAGAATAGAGTCGGTTAAGCATTTACAATTGGCAACAAAAATGAAAACTCATCTCACCAAAAAATGGAATTCAAATGCTACAAGCAGAACCTTGCAAGACAATAGACATTGATAGTTCTTAGATTTTACCATTATAAAACTTGTTTTTTGATGAGAAGTGTCTCCTTTCACGTTCATCCAGTTCATCGCGTAGGTTTCTTCTCTTTAATTCATCTTGTGTATCCTGGCCGTCTTTCCTAGAAAAGTTTAAACACAAATTATTAAGAGAAAAACAAATCGGGTGGCATCAGCAAAATTGCACACTGATGTGAAACATTGACAACATGTAGAAAGAGCCTCGTGGAATCTTAATAATCATTTAAAAGAGAAAAGCTTTCATGTTTCACCAATGAAACTTCATAAAGAAACTATTTCAAAACACATATTTCAAGTGTTTACAAAATTTGAAGTGCACGCAGATGTTGTTCATGTAGTTCAGTTGCAGATTTCCCTCAAAGAGCAATTGAGCACTCAAGAGTTAGGGTTTTCAAATAAAAGCAAGATCTTAAAAACGAATTCAAATTCTCCACAGTTGCATATTCCATCAAAAATATCATTACAGCAACTTCATGAATCAACTAAATGGGATAATCTATGTGAAACTGCAACACCTATCAATATTATCGATTCCTAAAACAATTAAAAGGCTGGAACGAACAATTTCCATAACAAAAACTATGGATTTTGACAATGAATAATTGATCCGGTAACAAATTTGTGAGCCACAGAAATTACAGGCAGTAATTAGACCTAAGGATGCAATAAACTTAACCTAATCAACCGAAACTCATTAACATTATGTAAATTCAACATTAAAAAAATGGGGAAAAAACCCTACATGGGTTTGAGAGTGGTGTGAGAGGCTATGTCTCTTGAGGAGTACTTCTGGGAAGGACTGAAAATTCGAGTACCGCCTTGTTCATTTCCACCTTTAGCAGGTGCCCAAGTTGGTCTGGCCACGGTGGTCATCGGATCGAGGTGAGAACGAAGGCTTGACGGAGACGAAGAAAGAGATCGAGGTTGGGAACAAGGGTTTGGAGAAGAAAGAGAAAATGAATTAAAGATGAAAGGGATATTGTTTATTTATATATATTAAACCAATATTTTTAAAAAAAGATTTATTAAAACTGATTAATCTGCTAACAATTTTTTTTTTTCATGTTGTAACGAATCTTTACTTATTTATTTTGATTGAAATTTATTATTTATTTATTATTCACACAATTTTTTTTATTAAAATTTAATCTACCAATAAACGGAAATTTTTTTTCTCAATAACTACTTTTTTAAAAAAAAAAATACCATTTTAACATAGAATTCAAAGAAATTCTAAAAATAGCTAGCATTCAACATTGAGGTGTCATATGAAATGACTGATGGATGAAGAGATGAACCAAATTGTCATCCCATATGACGCCTCCCTTTATGCCCTAAAACCAAGTCGCCATATGGTATGACGCCACCCTTGGCCCTAAACCTGATTCCCAGAGGAGGTGCCATATGGTATGGCGCCTCAGTACAATGCTTTTTTTTTAAAAAAAATTATTTGTTTTGTGTTTTTTTATCATGTGTTTTTAAGGGTAGTTAAGTCATATCATATGTGACCCGTACTATTTCATTTTTCTATAAATAAGAGTGCTCACTCATCTTTTTTTCACAACAATTTTCACCAATAGACTCAACTCTTTATAATTTTCAAATCAGTCTAAAATGTATGCATTTCTAAATCAACGTTCATCATCGTCATCATCGGAAGAACCATTTCCAACATTTCCTATAATAAAAAGAAATGTCCTAGTTTATTTTTCAGCAACAAGGCCTCCAATGAAGGTGCTACTGTGGAACACGCAAACTTTGAAGCATTTGTATAGAGAACTGAACCACTGGCTAGAAGGAGATATTGCTGTAGGTGAAAATATTAGAAAAATTGAGAGGTTAGTTGAGGAGTCAGGGAGAAACGGAGTTACTCGTGATTGGAGAAATGTAGAAAATGATGTTGGTGTCCTTATGATGATGTTAACACCAAAGAAGATTACCTTAATATTTGTAATATCCTAGACAAGTTGATGCATTGTGTTGTTTTATGTGGGTTTGTTGTTGTTATTTTCAGATTATTATTTTGATATTAGGTTATGTTGTTGTTATTTTCGGATTGTTGTTTTGGTATTAGGTTATGTTTGTTTAATTTATGTTGTTGTTAATTGTAATCGCTTAGGTATGCTATCAATGGAATGAAATTTGTTGTTGATTTAAAGGGACAGAGTTACATTAGAAACTACGATCATGTATTTGATCCTACATTGGGATATTTTGTACGATTGTGTCCTAGTTGCCACACGAACTACATAATTTGACCATTTTATTTGCTGCATCCATCTCCGTTCGAATGCGCGTACTATTATGGCAACCCTTTTTCTTTCTTCGCATCAAATCATTATGCCAGACAATTTCACCTTTGTATGGAGGCCAGTAGTCCTCCTTTTCCACCACCTGAAAGCTACCGCCGTAGATATTGCATAGGCTTATCACTTGGTGAATAGCAGGAAGATAGTTGGTTGGATCCTAGCGAACCTTCAAACATGCTGCTATAACATGGGAGCAAGGCATACGAAATGCTTGAAACTTTCCACAGTCACGCCAAATCCTATCCAGTTTCACTCGGTAACATCCCCTAGGCTTTCCTTCATTGTGATCAATTGACTCTGCAACACTGAACCAACCTTTATTACGGTCAAAGATTGTGACCACATGTGTGTTGGCTTTGGCAGCTTCGTCTTTCATGAGTTTCATTGAACTATTACTATACAGATGACCAGATTGTAATACTGAACCTCACTTTGTACATCTGTTATCAAATAGTGCCCTGAGTCTAAAATATGTTGTCTTTACCAAGGCAGTTATCAGTAGGTTTCGGATTCCCTGAAAAACAGAATTCATTGATTCAACGAGGTTAGTTGTCATGTGGCCCCATCACACCCCATTGTCGTATGCCATTGTCCATTTCTCTTTATGAATATTATCAATCCATCTTAATGCATTTGTGTTTGTCAGTTTGATCTCGTCACGGTAGTGTTTGAATGTGGGCTCTGTTAGTGCATACCATGCATTCACAACCTTCTTCCTTAGCGTTTTGTCTTTGATTTCCCGCATGAAATTTTGGGCGATATGTCTTATGCAATACACATGGTTTGAGGAAGGATCCTGCCAACCGTTATCAAGATTCTTGTATGCACTCTCAATTGATGGGTGTATATCAGAGATCAAACATAAGTTAGGTTGGGGAGAAACGTATAAGCGGATATTTTTTAGGAAAAAACTCCAACCCCCAGCAGTCTCCTCTTCAACTAGAGCGAAGGCTATTGGAAAAATGTTGTTGTTCCCATCCTGTGCCACAACCATGAGTAGCGTGCCCTTATATTTCTCGTACAACCATGTGCCATCAACTTAAATAATAGGTTTACAATAAGCAAAGCCTTTGATACATGGTTCAAACACCCAGAAGAGTCTGTGAAAAATGTCATTTCCACTAACGCAAGTCCCGCCTGGTCTATACGTCGACATTGTTTCTAAGATGGCAACAGTCCCTGGAGAATATTGTTTAAGTGCCACCAAGTATTTTAGAAGTTCTTTGTAAGACTCCTCCCAATTTCCAAACATCGTTTCAATCGCTTTAGTCATAGCTATCCATGTTTTCCTGTACGAAGGAGTGTAATTGTATCTTTGAACCATATGCGAAATTATGGTACTCACCTTCAAAGAAGGGTTGTCGCTAATGACCGACAAAATTTCATCACAAATCAATTGAGAGTTAAGCTTGTGGTGGTCCTGCATTGGATTCGTGATTATACAAGTGTGCCTTGGACCCATTGACCTTATCTTCCATGAATCACTTCTCTTCCAAAAAGATGTTGTTAATCGAAATGGGCACACCTCGTTACGGTAATCGATCTTATATAGAGTCATATTTGTTCGATCGACTCTATAATCTGCTGATAAGTCCATGTGATATTTTTTTATTGCTCAGACACAATCTGCTTTTGTACGAAAGTTGTCTCCCTCTTTTAATATTCCTTATGCTAGCAAGTATGGATTGTAAAAATTGTCTGTTGAGGGTTCATCGTCACCTAAGTTGAGACTTGTCATGTGTTGAGGTGAGCAATAAACACAACTGGATGGCACTACGTCTTCCTCGTTGTTTACCATGTCGTCAACAATGACTTCAGCTGCTTCTTCTTCTTCATCAATGGCATCGACTTTAGCGTGTTCGTCATCAGATTCGTAAAAAACTTGAGAAGAATCAAGTTATTGAGATAGTTGTTGTTGTTGTAACGTAATATATAGCTCAATATCTGAGAAACGAGAATACTCATGACTGAGAAACATGTTAGCACATCTTCATCGTCTCGAATCTTTAACTGAACAAATTTGCATTGCCCGTGCCCGCCAAAAAACACAGGATTCTTGTAGATTATTTGGCCAATTAGATCACATTGTAATTTCTTTTTTAATCTCGCTTTCAAGTGTAAAAAATTTGATCTTCTGTCAAACAAAAACCTAGTGACGTCCGTATTTCGAAAATTGAAACCGGTTGAGTTACATTCAAAAACCTCACCGTTTAAATGTGCACTGATCATGTATTATGGTGTTTGAGCCATAACAAATATGTTACTAAACTCGTGTTTAAAAGGATTTTTTTACTAATTGATATGCTAATAAACCAACTATCTATATTGTATTAATATCAATATAATGTTGTTTTTTATTATTAATTGTGCATTCATCACGTGTCTTGTCCTGATTTTATTATTTCAGTAATTAGCACTTATTAATCTTGCAGGATATGGTTTTACACGCTTTCTTACCAAAGGATTCTTTGCACGACAAGACTACACTCTACATGCCTACACTATTAATCTTGCAGAATATGGTAGTACACATGCCTACACTATTAGTCTCGTAGGATATTGTTTTACACACTTTCTTACAAATAAATGTCCATGTCATCTTGTTTTCTACAAATGTTATTCAGACAACTTAACACAACATAAATTACAACAAGATTTTTATTTGTTAATAAGTTACGAAATTAAATGAATAAATAAATATGTGATCATATATTTGATAGTTATTTACAAAGCTCAAAACAAGAATTTGTAATATGTGATCATATCTTTAAGACCACACTATACTCTGCATGCATGACACCACCATAGTCAAGCCAAAATTATATTAAATATGCAATACAAGACTACACTCTATCAATCAATGCCTGTAATATTCTCTGCATAACAATGACCAAGAATCTTATAAGACAAGACTACACTTGCATGCTTCCCTTCACCATTGTAAGACAAGAATCTATGCATGTTTGACAACACTACACTCTATCAAAACTTATATTTTCACAACACTCTGCATGCATGACAACACTACACTCATACAATGGCTTCACATGCATGACAAGACTACACTTACACGCTTCCCTGCACCATTGTCATCATGTTTCAGCATGCATTAATAGTGGTAGTATTCACATGCCTACACTATTACCATAACAGACCTACACCTTTAACACAACACTCTGCATGCATGACAACACTACATTTGCACACTTCCCCTGCGCCATTGTCATCATGTTTCAGCATACATTTTCATGTGACTCCTCTCATCATATCCAACCATTATAAATGTATGTTCATCAAGAAACAAACTCTTCTCATCACATTACAAACTCTACTCCTCAAATGTTAAACAAAATTTTCTCATCACTCAACAAACTTCATTCAGCAAACTTCACTCAACAAACTTAACCCACAATGTCTCTACTTACAATGGGAAACAATCACATAGGAACAATTGAGAACATCGCAGAGTTTGTAAGTGTTCTGGCCTGGGCCCTGGCTTGACCGGGCAGGCCCAACCCAATGATATTCTGCTAAGCCCAATCTAGCTTGGGCCATGTTCATCGA